TGGCTTTAGCTTCACAGTGCTGTGCTTTAACCCACTCTACCACCAGGGAGGACCCAGATGTTTTCTTTTTAATGAGATATTTGCAGAGAGATTTTCTAAGGTAGATTATAGATAAGAAATATCTACTCTAAGGTTTGGAGAAAAAGGGGGGGAAAAAAAAAGAAATACTGATTCCATCTCTTCATCCTACCCCTATAAGAGATATGCACTTTTCCCCCTTCTCCTTAAATTGTGACCCTTTTCCATGTAAATTGCTATTGGATTGTTTTTACACGGATTATTACTGTTTGGAACATACTTGCAGTGCTAGACCTGCTCTTTTGCACCTTTTCTATGTGGATTAAAAGGATACATACAGGCTGGTCACTGAACCCAGGAGGAGAATAAGAAACATGTGATACAGGGACTTTGACTCCCCAATCCAAGTCTAGAGCACTATCCTAAAATTGTTTCCCACATTTGAAAAGCTAAAAAAGTGTTTATGGTTATATGTGTTATATATATATATATATAATATCACATCTTCTTAATCCACTCATCTATTGTTGCACACTTAGGTTGTTTCCATAACTTGACTATTTTAAATAGAGCTGCAATGGACAGGAGACTGACATGTCCCTTTAAATCAGTGTTTTGGCATCCATTGGCTAGATACCTAGGAGCGGAATTGCTGGATTGTAGGGTAGATCTATTGTTTAAAAACTGAGAGAACTCCTTTCGCGAGTTCCCCAGGCAGTCTAGAGGCCCCGCCCCGCCCTGGCCCCGCCCCCTACATCCCCGCCCCCAGGCTCAGTAACAGTAACCACAAAATTCTTTATTGCTGGTGGCTATGTTTTGACGGGGCCCCCTCAGTTCTACCAGTCCACCAAAAGTAGCCGTCTTCATCCATGACGCCTCTGTCCCCTGTGAGGTAAAGCATGTGGCCTCTTGCTGAAGTGTATTCCTCCCAGTTCACCTGATGGAATAACAAATGCAGAAACAGATTTACTTAATCTCCGCAAACATTTAATGATCTGAACCCAGCAAGATAGCGAATCCCAAAAGGAGATGGGGGAAAAAATAGCAGATTTCTACCCTCCAGGGGCTTCCCACATAGAAAACCCTTTTGTCTAATGACCCCGTTTAGCGTCAGTTCACCCTGTCTCTGGCAGGAAACAGAAATGCAGAAGGTACCTGGCAGCTTTTCCGGGCCCACACTGGGGCAGTACAAGCGTGATGGCTGGCGTGGGGCTACTTCTAGTGAGTGGGGGGAGGCCGGCCACTCTGCTCTGGTCAGCCTCAGGCACAGTCACTGCTCTCTAACTTGCCTTTAGTTTGTACACAGTCCATGAGGAACTTGCCATCCAAAGAAGGTGGGGTTGGACGGAGGTTCTCACACCAGGAGCACACTGGGGTGATCAGACCTGTATCCCTTTGCACCCCTACTTTCTTGATCACATCTCTAGGACATCCACAGATTCTAGCATTGAAGTTGGCCAGCTAACAAACCACATGGCAAAATTGTCAGATTCTTAGAACTAAGGGACAGACTGTTCAGGAAAGTTCTAATGGACATCCATAAAACACCGTGTAAGCAATTCCTTCCCAAACAGGACAAATATCCCAGTAGGGATGGGAGATAACTGAGTCTTTTCTTTGGAATCCCTGTACCCTGAAGAGAAGGAGATTTTCAGGTTTCGATGTGATAAAGATACAGTGTCAATGTTTAGAAATATTGGTTATTGTCTTTTAGGGGAATTTGCAATATTAGAATATTTTTAATGTTTACCTAGTGATTAATTCAAAAATTCTGTTTTTGCTATTTTTTCTTCAAGGAAGTATCTAAATGTCATTTAAAGAATTGAGAAAGGAAGTTCACTGAAGGATTATCAAACATCGGGGCTAATTGAAATCTCCACCAATTATGGATCTATCAGATAAATCAGGCATTTGGTGGGACACTGTGAAATTAATGAAACTTTTTTCATATAAGATTAGTTGACCTGTGAAAATCATGAGAAGTAAAAGAGCAGGTTTTACAATATCAGGTAGAAATGAAAACACAATTTTGTAAAACATTATAGATGAATAAAAATAATAGGAGATATGCCCAAATATTAGCAGTGGGCATTAATTGCAGATTATGAGTGAAAAATTTCTTCGTGGCCTTTTTCTGTATTTTTCAAAGTTTTGCCTTTTTCTGTATTTTTCAAAGTTTTCTATACTGAACATAGATCAGTTTTTTATTACAATAATGGTTGCCTGCATTATATTTTATGTTTAGGAATAATTAAAAGAAAGTTCTCCAGTAGAGGGGGAAAAAGGAAAAAGTTCTTCTTTGTGGAAAAATGCCACCTAATTAATGCATGAGAAATGGCAGATTAAAATCACCATTTTGCATCCTGCATATGAATACTTGATCCAGGAAAGAGTCAGAAAATTCTAGATGACAGTTGATTAGAGAACAAGATAGTCACAGACTCTCAAAAGTCTTACTCCACAGGTTATGCAGTAACTATACAGGAGAAGAATTGCATCTTTACAAGGTGAGAAGTGGTAGAGATCACCTTAACTCAATGGTTCAAAAGTATCAGCTTCCAAAGTGGGAGGACATAAAGTTGCCCCAATTATAAGAAAAAAGAAATATGCAACATCACCCAAATAATATCCTTGCTGAAATGGATATCTTGAGTCTCACTATGAGGACACAATAGATAAATCTAGAATTAGGGATATTTAACGAGAAAACAAATTTCTACTTTTCAATAATAAGTTTATGTTATCAAAGCCAAAAAAAAAAAGAGTCAGATTTATTTTAGATAAAAAGAACCGGGCACAGGAAACCCAAATAAATGAGCCTTGATTGCATTTTGGATTTACAAAAATTATAAAATGAATTATCATAACAGTGGAAAAATATAAATATACAATGGCTGTTGGATAAAATTAAGGAACGGTTTTTAATTTCCTCAGGCAATGGCATTGATGACTAAGGAGTTCTTATTCAGAGGAAAGATGTACTGAAATAGTTCAGAACAAACGATTGTATTTGTATGAAAGTCTCCCTTACCACTTGTGGACAGTGCACGGAGCCTGGCTCCCTCCATTGCACAACAACCGCTATGTTTCCTTCTTCCCCGGGAGGCAGGGGATTTGAGTTTTCATCCACAATCTGAAATCCAGAAACCATGAAAGGATTTTTCCTTATTTAACATTTGTGTTGTGCCTAAAACACTGGGAGATTAAAGCCAAAGCTATCACCTCCTTGCCGTCCCCAAGGACTCTAGGAAAACAACCTGTTTAACTGGGGGAGACAAGAGTTGGTGTGGGTGGAATAAACTAGATGGAGAACAAATTTTCAGATGAGATTTGAAAACTCGATTTTATGGTGAATGGAACTGTTTCCTTAACTTCATTTTTGGATTGTTCATTGCTCGTATTTGGAAGTATCATTGATTTTTGCATTTTTGTTTTGTATCCTGAAAATTTGCTAAAGGCATTTATTAGTTGTGTGTGTGTGTGGGGGGAGGTATTTCTTACAATTTCTTCCTCTATTTGCAAGTTCATATCATCTTGAATAGGAATTGTTTTACTTCTTTACCAATTTGTATGTTTTCTATTTCTTTTTCTTGATTTATTGCCTTGGATAAAATATATCTGTGTTGAATAAAAGTGGTAAAAACAAACTTCCTTGTAAATACTGATCTTGGAAAGCTTTCAGGTTTTCACTGATATGTGATGTTAGCCGTGGATTTTTGTAGATGACATTTATCCTGTTGAGAAACTTACCCTTAATTTTTTTTTTGCATTGAGGTTATAATGTTGGTTTATATTTTTATTTGTATTTCCCTCCTGCTCCCACACACCCTTCAAGTACTATCGCCAGGGTGCACCCACCATCTCAGTCCATCCTTCTTCCTCCTCACTTTATTCTCACCCCTCTGTTTTCTTCCTGGATTCTATAATCAGCTTTCCAGGGTTAGTTTTTAAGTTTGGCTTTATCTTTTCCTCTGTTGAGTCTCTCCATATTCCACTTATAAGTGACACCATCTGATAATTTGTTTTTCTCCTCCTGACTTATTTGTCTTATCTCAATCTCTTCCAGTTCCATCCATGTTGCCATGAGTGCATCCATTTATCTTTTTTGATCATGTAAATATACTACATCTTCTTGACCCACTCATCTGTTTTTGGGCATTTAGTTTGTCTTTGTAGTTTGTCTATTTTAATAGGGCAGCTATGGACATGGGGAGGTAAGATTCACTTGGAATTAGTGTTTTTGTGTTCTTTGGGTAGATACCTAGGAATGGGGTTGTTGAGTCATATAAGAGATCAGGTTTTAATCTTCCAAGGAAACTCCATACTGTTTTCTATGAGAACTGAACCAGTGTACATTCCCATCAACAGTGTAAGAGGACTCCTGTTTTCTCAATATCCTCACTGTCATTGATAATTGTTGTCATTTATCAAATGCTTTTCTCTATACTATGGAGATGATCACGGCTTTCTGTTCGTTGAGTCTATTAATAAGGTCTGGTATATTAGATTGATTGATTTCCATATATTGAACCAAATTTATATACTTAGAATAAGCCGATTTACTAATATCCTCACTGTCATTGATAATTGTTGTCATTTATCAAATGCTTTTCTCTATACTATGGAGATGATCACGGCTTTCTGTTCGTTGAGTCTATTAATAAGGTCTGGTATATTAGATTGATTGATTTCCATATATTGAACCAACTTTATATACTTAGAATAAGCCGATTTACTAACATCCATATCTATGTTACTAGTTAGGGCTGTCAGTATTTTGGTGAGAATGATTGGGTCTTTATTAATAAGTAAATTAGTTTGTAGTTTTTCTTTTCTTGTAAGGTCTTTAGTATTGGCATTTGGATGGTCCTGGCCTCATTCAGTGTTCTCATTTTGAGACCAGCCCTCAAAACTACATCTCACATTTTTGGGAAGAGTTTGTGAAGAGTTGCTGTTAGTCCTCATTTAAATATTGGCTGGTCTTATACCAGTGAAGTCATGTTTGAAAGTGGAAGTTGCCACTGATCAGCTGGGTATTTTTTGAAAAGTTACCCTAACCTGTTAAGCCTCAATTTTCCTATCTATTAATTGGGGATAGTAATGGTACCCTTGTGTCAGGATTGTGGCCATGAGCAAATGAAATTACACTAGTAAGTGGTAAGGACTTTGTTTGGCACCTAGTAAGAGCTCAATTAACAATAACCGTCATACTCATTACCTGTGATTTCTTACCTTGACAATGTAAGGTGGCAATGGCTTTCCCAGAGAACCTGGCTTTAATTTCATTTGTTTGGAAGTAGCACAGAGCAGCCCCTGCATTAAAGAAATATAGACAAGTTTTTGTCTTTAAAAAAGGAGTGAAGGGGCCTTCCCTGGTGGCGCAGCGGGTTAAAGCACAGCACTAAGAAACTAAAAGCCACTTCCACTTGAGTTGTATCCTCGCCTGCCCCGGAGGTGACCACATGGCCTGGCAGACTTCTCCTGACAGCCCACTGCTCCCCTCAGCAGTGTACTTTGTGGATCTGCCTGTTCTGCTCCCCACTCTGTCTCTGGTGAAGCCTCTCGCCACCCCTGAGCCTCTGGCTTATACCCCAGTTCTGTATGTACAAATAAATAAATCTTTAAAAAAAAAAAGGAGTGAATAATCTGACCTAGTCATGAACCACCAATATCTGATGTTACCATGAAAAATAAAGAGATAACCACACCTCACATGCCTGCTGATGGAAGACTATTACATGATCGAAGAAGTAATATTGGAAAAGAAAAAATAGAGCAGGAATCTGATTACACTTCCAGATCTGTCTACCGATTGTAAGGAAATACAAAGGAGCCCCAACATCTTAAACACCATAGGGGTGCAACCAGCAAAACCCAGACTAGAACATATTACGGACCAACATCTCAGTAATGTGTTACTTTTTTTCAAGTAACAAATTTCAAAGAGAAAAAAGAGATGATGAGAAAATCCAAAGACTAAAGATACGTTAGGACTCGTCACAGTGTGTGGACCTGGTACAAACAAATGGCCAACAAGAGGACGTCACAGTTTCTCTCTCTCTCCACCTCCTACCTAGTCCTAGCTGCTGGGTGTCCTTTGACATGTTCCATTCTCACGGTGTGAGCTGATATCTCATTTGCCCATAACCCTTTATGTTATGATCAAAGAAGAGTCTCTCTAGTTTAAGAGATAATGAGGAAATCTATTCTTGTATTTAAGATTCAGTCATCTGCAGGTGTACCTGGTCCTTTGGAAATGTGTTAACATAGTAAATGGACAAGTGTGGTTATTTGACTGACCAGTCAGTAGCAACCTACAGTTTCAGTCTTCCCATAGCCTTCGTAGATGTTCAATTTAGTGATGCATTTCCAGTCAGCTATCATCCTGGGGCTTATGGCTCCTCCTGCAGACACACAGTGCTTCAGACTCCTGGACCTGAAGCTGGAGAGTCATCAGAAATTATTCTTAGGCTTGGTGAACATGTCTACCAATAACAGGTCTGTTGTAAGGAAGACTTGGGAAAATGACAGAGATGTTTCCAAATACATGGGAGGTTCTCATGAAGTGGTATTGATGTTTCTATTGCTAGCTTATTAAATAAATCTATTTCAGACCTTCCACTTGGATCAGTCTCCAGGAAGACTCTCATTTATTCTTCTAGTGAAGAAGCATTAGTGTTAAAAGTGAATGGATCAAAGGCCAGCCTTCTGAAAGAAGGTCTAAGGTACAATGTGGAATTAACTCTTTATTAGAATGTATTTCTACGGAGGTAGATAAATAGAGACATATATTTATTTTTAAAAGGTCTAGAAGTATCTATAGCCACTAGAAAAGTTACCCTTTGCTTTATATTGACCTGTATTTTATGTTCAATAGCCATCTATAAAATTTATCTTGTTGATGGTAGACATACACATTTGTTAGTCATACCCAATCTTGATTGCAATCAAGTTTTATATTCAGGACTTAGAAGATGTGGACTTTCAAAGTCACAAGGGAAAAAAAAAATTCCTGCATTCTAATGGATTCATTGTTATAAGTGGCAACAAGATAAATGAATGAATGAAGGGTAGAACTGGGTCTACTTTAATAAACCGAAGGTTCCTAGTCTGTTTGTGAGACCCTGAGTGGACATGGACTCTCTTGAAGAGGTCCTCTCTTACCTGATGAAATGTTTGTGTTGAAGCAGTTCCTTATATGTCCCTGGATTTCCAGATAGAGTGGTGATGGGGAATCTGTGCAAGGCCTGAACCCCGAAGAAAAAGCCAAATTAGTGAGAAGATTAGAAGAAAGCTGTAAGGGAGAGGATCGCCCACTTCTAGACTTAGCTGGGGCAAGACCCTTATCTTGAGCTAAGGAAGAGAATCTCACTTTATCTTTCTGGATCTAAGAACCACCATGTTCATCAGATGCTAACTGAATGGATAGACAACTGGACATTTACGTCTGGATCCCAGAAACCCCTTGTTTAGATCTTTGGTGCTTTGACTAGTAAGCCTGGATGTTGCTAGTGAAACTTGGGATTGTGGAGGTATTTAGGGCTCATGGACTATGCTGTAGTAGACCAGGGATTAACTCCTGCTTTCACCACTGTGATTACTCTTACCTCTTCAGGCCTCAGTTTCTCCAGTCTCTACCTTGCTGTGTTGTTAGGGAGATGAAATGAAATAGTGCATATGAAGTCTCAGCATCAGGTCAATAAATATTGGCTGATATTAATATTATATCATGTTTACCATTGTTTTTCAGTAATTTGGTAATTCAACAAAGCAGCCAAGTCTGATACCACATGGCTTTGAGAAGTAGGAGGATATTGTTCTCAGAAGTAGGTGAATTTCTTCAAATGACATTCTAAACTTAATTCTCGATTCCTCCTATTTGGGACATTTGAGTCTCTGGGCCATTGCTAATGCTTCCTTTCCAGCCCTTGTCCCACCCCACAGTGGGAACTGGTCTTACATTTAGAACAGTCTCGGGGCAGAAGGTTGGCATGTGATGCAGAAACACACAAGCTCCTTGGAGCCAAGCTCCCAACACACTGCTCAATGACAAGGTTCCACTGAGGGCATCACCAAGATACCAGAAGACATCTGTTGGCTGGAGGTCCATCCACTGTCTGAATAGAAATAGCAAAAACACCTGAATTCCTCTGTGCTAGTACTAATGACAACAACACAATGATCAGTTATCAAGCACTAACCACTCAGATGAGAATAAATAAGCAAAGGCTATTCAGAGCTGAGGCAAAGGAATCAGCCACTATCACCTGCAAAGGCTGGCAGAGGAGTGAGAAGCCTCTGTATGGGGAAGGGGAAGACTTCTGGTGTGCCCTGGTTGGAGGTAGGTGGGAGGGGCTCCCGGGGTGGGAAAGAGAGGGGAAAGCAGGCTATGGTTTAGTTAGAGGTGAGTTGTTCTATGTGATAGGGTTGGCTTTCTCTGCTGGCTTTCTCTTTCTCTGACTTTTCTCTGCTGAGTTAGAAGGGAGGACAAAAGTAAGGGAAGGTGTCAGTTATTAATCAAGTCCTGAACATTTGGGGCTAGTTATTACAGGGTTATTTGATTCCTTGACAATAGGAGTCTGATGTCCTGCTTGTCTAGCTCAGTGACAGCACCTGGCTTCTTGGCAGGTCTGCATTTGATGGTTTGGTTTTCTGAGTTGGTTCCTGCAGGTGCTGGCCAGAGCCCTGTTGTCTGTGTGGCTTGGTTGTTATCTACCTGCACATCCAAGCACTTGTATATTCAAGCACACCCTGTACTTGTACTATGATAAATACTTCATGTATGATAAGAAGCCACAGATTTTCTTCACAAATAGCAGCATGCTCCACATACTGTCTTTCACTGATCGTTTTCCTGGTCAATTTGTGCTGGAGGTCTTTGCATAGCAAGCCTATAAAAACCTAACATTACACTGGCTATGATGCCTTTACTTCTTTTTCCAACTGTCCGGCACAACCTTTTTGTTGTTTCAGTGTTACAAGGACATCTTGTGTGTGGATTCCTGACATTTTGGACATGTGGCTGGGAAGTAGACTGTTGGGTAAAAGGGCATGTGTGTTTGTAATTTTGAAAGATACTGTTAACATTTACTGCCAATATGCCTGATTCTTAAATGAAGCTACTGGATTAGCATTTTTGAAAGATATGGGAATGGGAACTGTCCTCTAGACATGAAATAGCTTATGCAAGGCAGGGAGGACAGACTTGGGAGGGGAACCCAGGTCTGGTGAATTCCACATAGGTCTGAGTTCTGCCACACTTCTCCATGTTATAGAAGCTACTTTTTTTTTTTTTAAGATTTATTTATTTGTGCATACAGAACTGGGGTACAGGCCAGAGGCTCAGGGGTGGTGAGAGGCTTCACCCGAGACAGAGTGGGGAGCAGAACAGGCAGATCTACGAAGTACACTGCTGAGGGGAGCAGCAGGCGAGTCAGGAGAGGTCTGTCATGCCATGTGGTCACCCTTGGGGCGGGCGGGAATCCAACTCATGCGGAAGTGGCTTTAGCTTCTCAGTGCTATGCTTTAACCTGCTGCACCACCAGTGAGGGCCTATAGAAGCTACATTTAATTAAGCTCCAACTACATTCTGGGCATGGAGCCAAACATGCTATTCCAGTAGCTCACTTAAATCCGACAAGTCGAGGAGGCAGATGTATTACAAGGCAGATACTCAGTTATGCTTAAGTCATATCACTATTATACGGTTCACCACAGACAAACTGGATTGCTGTTGGTCATAAGGGATTTTCTGAATTTGAGGAGTGAAATACAAAAAATGTGCATCTGAGAGTCCACAAAATGCAGCTTTATTCCGCTTAACGAATGAGGACACTCAAGTGGGGTGAAAGGCCATGCCTAAGTTCACAGTGGTCATTGACATAGTGGGGTTTAGACCCTTCCCTGTCTAATGGCTGAGCTACCATTTAGTGACAATACTCTTTGCTCTTCCCCTGGAATCGGATACCTCTTTGGACTTAGAACTTCTTCAGAGTAAAGTGGTGACCACAAAGAAGAATCCAGGTGTAGATGGCAGAAGAGGAAGACTGGAAAATGTGCACAGCGGTCGTGCTGGCTGTCAGAAGCCAAATTGCCACTGATTTTGCCTCTTGATCTAACCATCACATGATCTAGACTCTTGTTCAGATGCTTATAAATACCTGCTTAACAATATCCTTCAGTGATGGGCCCTCCCTGGTGGTGCAATGGGTTAGGACGTAGCACTGCAAGCTGGCCACAGCCACTTCAGTGCTAGTTTGATCCCCAGCCCAGAGGTGACCCACATGGTGCTCCTGACCTGCCCGCTGCTCCCCTCAGCAGTGTACTTCACCAATCAACCTGTTCTACTCCCCACTCTGTCTATGGTGATCCTCTCACTGCCCCTGCACCTCTGGCTTGTACCCAGGTTCTGTATGCATAAATAAATAGAAAAAAATCCTTCAGTGGCTCCTGCTTCCCTCTCCACACTGCTGTCAAAGGGGCCCCTGTGCTCTCTAGATCCTCTGTTTTTCCTCTTCCTTGTTTTACCTTCATTTAGACACTGCTTGCTCTGCTTTGAGTGCTCTTTTGCACCCCCATTTCCACAAGATTGAACCCCACATACAAAGTTTGTAAGCTCCTTTCCTTTGGAAAGATGGCTATTTTCTGTGTGAACCCCAACTTCTGTCATATATTACAGCTACTCACACACTACACTTTGCTTTCTGATGAGCTTAGGGCCTTTTTGAGGGGAAAAACACTTGACTCATCTTCAAAGGATTTATCGTAGGCAGGATTGACAGTATGTTTGGGAAGCTAAGCCCTCTCAAACCAAGCTAAAACATCTAAGTCAATTATTTCAATGAGTTTCCTACTGAAGAGACAGAAATCAATTTCAGTGCGAGAGATGGTGTGATAAGCATTTGGAACTACTTGAAGATTTTTTGAAGAGTAGTGTGACAGGGATTTTCAGCTTAGACCCCAAGCCCCTCATTAGCGGTGACTCTACCTGGGTGTTTGTCACTCTTATTCCCCCCAGTGCCTGTAACAGAATAGGCAATGTACAGCAATGTGCATTTTTGGATAATTGCCCTGGGTCCTTCCCTAGGGATGTGAAACTTCCGCCCTTCCTCTGTCTCCCAGAGTCTTAGATTTCTGGCTCGACAGTAATTGACTTTTGATCTTCTTGTATACACCCTTCCCCTCTTCTATCAGTCCCATTTTTTCCCTCAGTGTGGACATTCCTGAAATGGTGGGTAAGAAACTTCTTAGTTTTCGTCCCATGAAACCTTTCCAAGAAAAGAGCTCTCAGGCCTGTAGAGGTTGTGTGAGGAGCATACCTTGAGGTCTGGCTAAATCCCATTCCCAAACGATAGTGGGAAAACTTGACCATTTGGGGAGAACTTGTTCTGTTGGTAAAAAAGATGGCCATTGGCTCCTGAGTCTTGGTCCCCACACAGGTCTGCTTTGGGGGCGCGACCCTGTAAGTCACAAAAGAGGCGACAGTGAGTTCTACAGGCAGGTTTTCCTGCATCACCTCATACCTATGAGAACAGTCTATAACAAGAAGACTGGCAAGCAGTGTGTATCGGCCAGGGTATGAGGGAGAGGGACTCTTGTATACTGTTGGTGGGGATGTCAATGGGTGCAGTTCCTGGAAAATTGTATGAAAACTCCTCAAAAAATTAGAACTAAAATACAGGTGAAACAATAACACCATCTCATGATTCATCTGAAAAATATTAAACCACTAATAAGAAAAGATATTTGCCCCGTGATGCTCATAGCCACATTATTCACAATAACCAAGATAGGGCCTCTCTGGCAGCCTAGGGGTTAAGTCTCAGAGGTATCACCACTCTGGCCTGAGTGTGATCCCCGGCCAGGGAGCTGGTCCTCAGGGTGCAGCAGACCTCTCCTGTCTCACCCGCTGCTCCTTTCTGTGCATTTCAGTGGATCTGCCTGTTCTGCTCCTCACTCTGTCTCTGGTGAATCCTCTGACCTCCCCCACTTCTGGCCTACACCCCTGTTCTTTTTCTTTTTCTTTTTCTTTTTTTTTTTTGTTGTTTCTTTTTTATTTTACAAAAGTTTATTTTTACATCATTTTGTACATTTTTTTTCCATCTCAATTGTAATCCCCACGGGTTTCCCATAACCAAGTCACCCATGTGCCATCACCATACTCCCGTGCATTTCCCTCCCCACTCCCCGTTTTTGATCCCATTCCCCACTCCACCCCCACAAAATGTCTCTGGTATATGGTTGTTCATTATTTTTGTTATTTTCTCGCCTGGTCCATTATACTCCTGCTATGAGTGAAACCATCTGGTATTTTTCTTTCTCTTTCTGGCTCATCTCACTAAGCATGATCTTTTCCAGCTCCATCCAAGTTGCTGCAAAAGACATGTGTTTCTCTTTTTTGGTTGCTGAGTAATATTCCATTGTATATATGTACCACATCTTTTTTATCCAGTCCTCTACTTTTGGGCATTTGGGCTGCTTCCATGTTTTTCCAACTGTAAATAAAGCAGCAATAAACATGGGGGTACAAGTATCTTTTTCTTTTTTTTTTTTTAAAGATTTATTTATTTGTGCATACAGAACTGGGGTACAGGCCAGAGGCTCAGGGGCGGCAAGAGGCTTCACCAGAGACAGAGTGGGGAGCAGAACAGACAGATCGACGAAGTACACTGCTGAGGGGATCAGCAGGTGGGCCAGGAGAGGTCTGCCACGCCATGTGGTCACCTCTGGGGCAGGCGGGAATCGAACTCATGCAGAAGTGGCTTTAGCTTCTCAGTGCTGTGCTTTAACCCGCTGCGCCACCAGGGAGGGCCACAAGTATCTTTTTCAATCAGTGTTTTTGTGTCTTTTGGGTAGATACCTAGGAGTGGGATTGCTGGGTCATAGGGAAGCTCCATGTTTAGCAGTTTGAGGAACCTCCAAACAGTTTTCCATAGTGGTTGTACTAGTTTGCATTCCCACCAGCAGCCTACACCCCTGTTCTTCTATGCAAAAATAAATAGTCAAGACATGGACATGGCCTAAATTCCCACTGACAGGTGTGTGGTGAATGACTCAATGGAATATTCAAGGGGAAATCTTGCCTTTGGGGACAACATGAGCAGAACTTGGGGTGAGAATACTAAGCGAAATAAGTCAGAAAGTGAAAGACAATTTCTATATGTTTCTCTCATAGGTGGAATATAAATAACCAACGCATACAAAATAACAAAAGACAACAGAAGTAACTCAGCTTGTGAAAAATAAGAGGGAAATGGGATGAGGGATGGAAGAAAGTCTAGGAGGGCTCAGCTTGGCAGTGGGGAGCAATGAAAGCTTTGGTGGTGGGTGTGGTGAGGCATGAGGCTCTAAACCCAGTGTTCACATAGTATAGTTAACCAATAGTTAATGGACACAGTTGTATGCTCAGTGAATTAAGTCAGAAGGAAAATGAAAACTATCAGAAGGTTTCACTTATAGGAGGAATGTAGGGGCCCAAGTAAGGGATAGGGGGAAAATACAACAATTAAAAAAAGAAAACACAACAAAGTTGAACACAAATCATCAGACAACTATAAACCAGAGATATCCTGCAGGGGAGGGGTGGGGAGAGGGATCAAAATGAGGCCGGGAAGAGCGCAAGGGACTAAGGTGATGGTACATGGGTGAACTGGTGGTGGGAATTCTCTGGGGACAACACTTGATACAAATAAATTAAACATAATAAAAATCCTTTAAGAAGAATAAATACAGTTTTTTCCGACTTAAAGACTAGGACCCTGGCTTAGTAGCCTGTGTTTTTGAAAAGAGCCCAAGTCTAATCTTTGTATTGATTCTGTTGCATGAGAAATGTAGGAGGCATTTACAGCCTGGCTTTTCCCTCACTAACGCCTCTACCCAACAGCTCAAGGCCAAAATCTGTAATAATCTTTACTGCCTCTCTTTCCCTACTTACTTTCCTCTGTTACCTTCTACCTTTTCTGCTTCCATCCATCTGTGTCAAGTCCCAGCCATTGACCAGTCCTGATATTTCTACTTCCAAAACATATCCTCAATCTGTCTGTCTTTCTTTAGTAGTTATTTCAGGGCATAGATTAGAGTGAGGCAAGCAAAATGTTTCAGGGGTGATATTTAAGGGGACACCAACAAATTCAGTAGTTAATATAAATAATATCTTAATATCTTTTTAACAAATGAAAATGCTATATAAAAATCCATGCTATATAGAACCCCCATGCAAAAATCCATGCTATATAAAAACCCCAAATTTAAAACTGATACAGTATCCAATCTAGCACTTGCTTGACTCATCTCTCTTGATGACCCTAACCCATTCCTGGCTCCACAAACACTTTATTTACAAAAACAAGCAGCTAGTCTGAGCTTGGTAGTTTGCCCACTTGATATTCTTTAATTTCAAATAATTTAAAATACCAATTTGACTTTAAAAGACTTATGAGTTGACCTTATAATTATAAAATTAAAACCTATCATACAAATATCTAAAATTAGCTATAAATAGTTTAAAACGCCAAATTATTTTTTCATTATTTTATAATTGGAACACATTTAAGAATTATTTTACAGCTCAAGTATTCTTCGTCTCCATCACTGAGTATTTGAGTGTTCCTTTAAATTTAGTGCCTGAGGTGAGTCCTGTCCAATTGCTGCCATCTTGGCCAAGATGGTCTCTTCCCTGGACAGCTGCACCCAGCCTTCTTTCCTGTCTTCTGACTACCTTTTTAGTATTCCAGCAGCCAGAGTGTAGTGTCGACACAATAAGTCAGATCAAGTCCTTCTCTCCAGGGTTTCCCAGAGAGCGTCCTGTGTGACCTACAGGGCTTCCACGTCATTCTCTCCTGCTCTTCAGCCCCCTCCTCCCACTCTCTTCTTACTCACCACCTTTGGCATCCTGTCTGCTCCTTAAAACAGATCCAGGTCATTCCTTCCTCCCGTCCTCTTTTACCTCAGTGGTCCTGGTGCCAAAGACACAGTCCCCATGGATCTTGAGAAGGTTGGCACGTTCGCATTTGAATCTCAGGTTACATGTCCACTCCCTAGAAGCCGCCAAATCTAAAATAATGCTCCCACCCCCACACCGGGTTACTCTTTTCCATTGCCCCACGTTGTTCTGAAGCTTCTTTTGCAATGTCTATTGCTCATTTAATCATTAAAAAAAAATAAAAATCCCTGAAAAAAGACCCCCATGGGACAGAGTGTGGGCTAAGATTGGATTAGTGCTCTCCAATGTTCAGCGCTAACGCTCCCCAGTTAATGCCATTACTTAATTTTAACCTCTCTGTGTTTTTCTTGGTCAACCTTCTCTCAGAATGAACACTCCCAATTCTGGGCTATAAGACTTTCACTAATACTGAGAACTTGTACGACAGATGGGGAATCCTTGCCTCAGGCCCGGGCATCACCGACTGGCTCCCCATTACCCCCTCTCACATTATCCACGTTGTTTCTCACAGGTGCTTTCCAAAGTCAGATGTTTTCTTGGTTTAGTGCCTTGTTTGTCTCATCCTCCACTCACCGAATCAAATCCTTGAAATTCAGCCACCCATTATAGCTCTTATCTGATACCAGGAGCTTGGTCTTCAAGGCCGGGCAGGTGGACAGCACAGACTCCACCAGTGGAGCCACAGCCTCGTTGACCACAATGCACTGGGCCTCAGACATGTGCAGCTGATAGAGAATCTCCTTGGCAGTCAGCTGGGGTGTTCCTGGCACAAAGGTGATTCCTGCAAAAGCCACAAAGGAAGATTTTATTCATATCTCTTAAGTGGAGGATATCTCCTCAATATCTCAAGTATTTTGCCAAGCAGAGGAGGCCTCTTGAATACGCTCTCTCTGGGAGGAAACTCTCCATGGGCCAGCAACAATATGGCAGGGGAGGAAAACTGAAGAGTGGGACACTGACCTCTGTTGCCATTTCCCTCTTCCCCCTCACGCAGGCCTCATAGGTCAGAACACTTCATGGGTCAGAACATGGATTACTCTTCATGGGTCAGAACACTGAAATATAGGTTGATTTTGAAACTGAATGATGCAAGGAGATTGTGGAAAGCTCTTCTTTGTTCTTTCTTCTTTGTTTGACAATGTCTGGTGTGTGGGTTCCTGGATATGCATTAGACACAAAATTTCCTCCCTTGTGTTGTGGCCTGTTCCTTAATCTCCCTTTCATCCACATGACACTTATTGTGGGCTTACTACAGAGTGGTGCAGACTGGGTGTTCTGCTGCCTCAGCCTGTTCTATGACTGGGTCAAGCGGAGGCTTCCCTTGACTTCTCAGATCTGGAGAAGTTGATGATGATAGTGCCTGTCTTACCCTAATGCTTACACGCCCTATTACAGACTTACCAATTTTCAAAGGGATCTGATTTACCATGCAGGTCTTTCCCATCTGCTCTAACATGGATAAACAAAATATGACACAAACACACATGGATGTAGTTGTAAAATGGGGTACTAGTCACCCACAAAGAATGGAGTGTTCATACATGCTATCATGTGGATGAGTCTTAAAAACATTGTGTTTATGCTCTACCCACTAAACTAGCCAGTCAGACAAAATCATGAAATGTATTTGGAACTACCAAAGGTCCTGGTAGCAAAACAATCTTGAGAATAAAGAACACAAATGGAAGTAACATACTTGCCTTCTTCAAGTTATTCTACAAAGTGAGAGTAATGAAAAGAGCATGGTATTGGAATAAAAAGTCACTCAGATTAAAGGAACAGAATTGAGCCCAGAAGTAAAATCACTCATATATGGACAACTTGTTTACAGAAGAGAAGCTAAGAACAATGGAACTAGGAAAGTCTCTTTAATAAATAGTGTTGCATTTCATGCATTACACCACTATCTAATATCATATACAAAATTTATTTCAAAATGGATATAAGACCTGAGACAATAACATATATAGAAGAAAACATAGATGATACACTCCTTGATAGATGAGCCTTAAGATGTGTTTTGGTACTCACTCCAAGGTCAAGGCAAACAAAAGTAAAAATGAATCATTGGGACTGCATCAAATGGAAGAGGATATACACAGCAAGAGAAAGCTACATCACAATGAACAGATGGCCTAAGGAGTGGGAGAAGCTATTCGTATGTCATATCTCCAATACATAAAATTCAGCAGCAATGACAAAAAACAAACAGGCTTAGTAAAAAATGAATAGAGGGTCTGAGTAGACTCTTCTCTTGAGAACACATCCCGTCCAGTAGGCACGTGAAAAGATGCCCACATCCCCTATTATCAGAGAAGTGTAAATCAGAACTAGGACATACTAGTGCACATCTGTGGACTTGGCTGTTCTCCAGATGACAAGAAGCAACAAGTGTTAGGATGTGGAGAGCAGGGAGCTCTTGGAAGTTCTGGGAACGGAAGCCAGCACAGACGTGATAGAAAGCAATATGGAAACTCCTCCAAAATTAAGCCTATAATTACAATGTTACTCTGAGGTTTCACTTGTGGGTATTTATAAGAAGACTATGAAAACACTAATTCAAAGAGACATATGTACCTCCACGTTTATTACAGCATTATTTATAGCAGTGGAGAGCTGGAAACAAACAAAGTGCCCACTGGTTGATGAGTGGGTAAAGAAGCTGTGGAGCTTATAAACAGTGGAATAGTATTCACTTGTAAAAGATGAAATCCTGCCATCTGCAAACACATGGATGGACCTAGCATGTTAGTGAAATGATCAGTAAGATAAGCAAGACAGAAGATCGATAATGATGCGCTCTCACTCCTGTGGCACACCAAGAAAACAGACAAACAAAACAAAACCATTCATGGGTCCATTTAGCCTCGTAACCCATTTTAGTTACTATACTATAAGTGACCCCTGCTCCACTTTGGACTGATAGCTGTAGAGACTGCTGGACACAGCCACAAGCATCACTCATGTGACTTGACCTCAAATGGAAATGATCTCAAATGCTTCAGGCCGTCTAAGCGGGGCCATGTTTTCTCAGACACGGTCATTTGTCTCTCGGGATAACGTAGTCCATTGGGAACTGGGAAAACTTTGGGCTCCTGGGTGTACACAAGGGTAGGGCTCCCTTCTTTATCTTCTCTCTGTGCCATGAACTGGCATTCTCAAGGGCATTTACTCTTTGAGTCCCATTTGAAAGGTTTTCCTGACTAGCATCCCAGTTAGCCGGCGAAGGCAAGCTGCTAGGTCATTTTGGACAACTCATAAAGATACAAGCTTGGACCCTCTTAGAGATTATTTGATTTTCATAGCAGTCTCCCAATTACTAAACAAAATAAGAAGTATGCCTGAATTCTGCGTTCTGAGGAAGAAGACAAGGAACTGACCAAGAGGGCAGAGTCAGCAGTGGCATTTTTTGGCCAACACGCTTCACTCTTCACCACAGCGGAGGCATTTCCTGGTGGGGGTATTTATGCTGGGAGAGACTCTCAGAGACCTGGGCAGGACATCACAGGGAGAGTTCATCTAACAGCACCCTGATCTCAAGATCACTTGGGAAGCTCCCCAGGACGGTCTGATAAGGGCTAGAGAAGGCGCCCTCAGAATTTTTTCCCACACTTCTCACAGATGTGGAAACTGAGACCCCGAGAAGGCGAAGAGTGTTTGTTCTATTCCTTTGATGTTGACTGTGTTTGGACAGAGCTTTCTATTTCCCTGAAGTCACAAATGACAAGGTAGTTAAGCACTCTGCATGGATTATCTGCTTTTTAGTTTTCACAGAAACCTAGTAATACCAGTACTATTTCTCTGCTTATTTCATAGACAAAGAAACAGTGAGACTGAGTAGCCTTCTAGTACAAATGTGGGAAGTGGTGGGTGTGGGGTTAAACCGAGGCTCTTTTAAAGACCCCAATACTATGGGAGGATTTGGGAACCGAGGGCCATTCCTGCAACATCTCTCCACGGCGTGAGTCATTGAGGCTGAGATTCCATGTGAACCCCCATGGGGCATCCCTCCGCAGTCTTACCTAACCGCACACAGGCCAGCAAGATGCAGTAGGTTTCCGGTGCTGGGGGCAGAATTATCATCAGCCGGTCCCCTCGGCTGAGGGCACAGGTGTCTGAGAGGATGCTGGCTGCCTTCTGGGAGAAATGACTCAGCCTCTGAAAGGTCCATTTATCCTCTTCTCCTTTGGAATTGACCTCCCAGAGGGCAGGGGAAGCTTCCCTGTGTCCATCCTAAAGGGGTGATATTCAAAATATTTGCAGTTAGTCACGTGGACATTGACTCCTGGAGGCCTGCATTGGTCAGCTGCTACCCTTGAGTGACTAGATCTTAAAGTGAGGCCAGGGTGCTTGGAGCCTGGGGAGAAGCGACTATTTCTCAAGACGCATGAAGTATTTTAATATCTAAGCAGCTGCCATGCTGGTACTGACAGATTTCAGTGAATGTGGAGAGAACTTGCTCTTGAGAGAGCTCGACATTGGCAGTATTGCCCAGAAGGCAAAAACTTCTCAAGGCACCATCTTATTTGTAGAGAAAGAGTGTCCTCTTTCTGATCCATTCTAATTTACTCTTGCCCCCAAATATGCCTTATTGACTACTGCAATTTATTTTTCAGTGGGGCGATTTTTGAGAAAGAAACCATAGGTTTTCCAACACTGCTTAGTGAGGGCACAGAGGAAGGATTTAGCCCTCGTAACCATCTCCTTCCCGACAAAGATTTCCGCTCCTCACTACATGGGAGGTTGCCTTTCCTTCCTCTTCTGCTCTTCTGCCTGTCCTATCTCTTCCTCTCTTCTCCTCGTTCCTTTCTCCTTCCTTCCTAACTTCACTTCTTTCTTCCTTTATAACTTCTTCCCTCCCTTCATCTCTTTCTTTCGTCTTTCTTCTCTTTCCCGTACTGACGCAGGAGTGGACCACAGAATCCTTTTCCATTCTGACCATTTTAGAATCTTTCAGTACAACAGGGAACATGGGAGAGGGTAGAATATTCCCCAGCCACCCTCCTCACCTGATGAATAATGACAAAACACCCATACCCTTATCTCCTCTCTGTCAATTTTCTGTTTGCCTATCGACTCTCTCTCTCTCTACATATATATATGTTTATATCTGGATTCCAGAAACAGGCAGAGAACCTGCAGCTATTTACTTAGCTTCCTGAAGCTTTGTGTGAGCTGTTAAATATGAAAGCATCAGCAACATGATTTACTCCTGAGGTTGTGGGAGTTCTTATTCTCTTCATCAAATGTTCTTGAATGACCTCCGTTCCTGTCACCCAGAATCCTTTAGTGGCTCCCACACCCCACCAAACCAGTTCCAAACTGCTTACCTTGTCTTCAGGCTCTTTCTAGTTTTAACTACTTCTTGTCTTTTCTTCCTCAAAACTCACTATTTTTTTTTGTATGATCCTATACTCAGTCAATATATCTCTGACTATGCCTCATAGTTTCTTATTGGCATATTTCTACTCACAGTTTCCTTTGCCCAGATCTTATATCTTTTTTTTTAAAAGATTTATTTATTTATTCATACAGAACTTGGGTACAGGCCAGAGATGCGGAAGGTGAGAGGATTCACCAGAGACAGGGCAGGGAGCAGAGCAGGCAGGTTGACCAAGTACACTGCTGAGGGGAGCAGCAGGTGGGCCAGGAGAGGTCTGCCGTGCCATGTGGTCACCTCTGGGCTGGCGGGGATCGAACTCATGTGGAAGTGGCTTTAGCTTCTTAGTGCTGTGCTTTAACCTGCTGGGCCACCAGGGAGGGCCCAGATCTTATATCTTTATTGAAATCTTACTCATTCTTTAGGATCCATTCTCTTATTCCCTCCCATCTTTACCAGATCTTTCTAAATCCCATTATTTACATGCAAACCTATGTCTTTTTGCCCCTTCCACCTCTTACCCTTTCTTGCTTGTGGGGGGGGGAGGCATTAGACTGTGATGTCCTTTGGTGTTGAGCCTCTAAAACCTTGTGCTGGGAAATGCTCAGAACAGGTTTATTGAATGAGAAGCAAATATATTCTGACAATAATACTTACCAATGGTGATAAAAAAAAACATTTGCGTACTTGCAAGCTGTTAAGTCTATGTAAGCATTTTTTAATTAATGATCTTCTTTTATCTTCTCAACAACACTTTGAAACTAACATTTCCATTTTACAAGTAAGCAAATTATGCTTTTCGGGGTAAGAAATCTGTCCAAATTTGACAAAGAATTTAAACACAGTTTGGACTGGCTACCACGCCTGTGTCCTTAGAAATTTGCTATAGCATCTCCCTTCTGAATTTATATTGTCTAGTGTCAGGCATAGAGAGGGTTTGAGTTCCATCATCTCTGGCTGTAAGTCTTGCCAGATGGCCCTGGGCAAATTTCAAAATCAAACAAGTTTTACCTTTTCCAGTTGGGACCACTGGTCTAGCACATCCTTTGCAAAATTAAAGTGCTGGGGCACTGCGTGGCCTGGGGTCCTGTGATCAGGAGATCTGAAAGACCAAGTTGCAAACGTTCTCCTTGGCTTGCAGAAGGTTCCATACCCCAGCCGGGCACACTGGGCCAAAGAGAAGAGCTGGAGCTGGCCCCTCATTGGCTTCAGGTGGGGAAGAGTCTAGGCAAGTAGAAGAAAATGCGGAGAAGTGGCTCAGAGAGATAAATTTGAGGCCGGGGAGCTGAGATTGAACCCACAAAGCCACATTTTTTCATGTGAATGGAAAGCAACAGTCAAATCTGTGAAGATGAAGCAGATTAAATACTCACCAATGTCAAAAGTTTGCGTGGGGAACTTCAGATGTTGGAAGGGACTGTTGTCTCTGACTTCTTGGAGAACTGCTTACCTTTTGTGAAGTAGCTGGTAGTTGAATAGGCATTTTCCTGACCATGGGACAGACAAGTCTTGGTTGACTTTCATTGGCTCCTGAACCCAAAAGATAATCTCCTTTGCTTTTCAGAGGCGGAGTTTTAGAACTGTGAGATAAGATGAAGCAACAGGTACAACTTGATTTTTAATATAATGCCAGAAGAAGTAGGTCACCTGCAATGCCAGGTGTGACAGACTATAAAAGACAGAACCTTGATATGATTTTATCACAAAATATTGTAGAGCAGAAAGAAGGAGATTGTTCAGCAGGTAGAAAAGGGAATTAATGGTATTGAATCTTAATGGATACTTAACCCATTCAAAAGTGATGTTTTCTTTTAGAAATGGGTCCATTTCTAAATATGAATTGCTTATTCTCAAATAGGGATTGCTTCTGCAGACACAGTGGGTGGCGGAAGTCTTGGGACATTCAAGTAGGGAAAGGAGACCTCATGATATTCATCAGAAGAGTGGAGGGTAGACAGTGGTGTTTCAAGTTAACCAAATCTAGAAAGCTTACTTTTTTGAAAGGCATTGATAATGTATACTTGTTTGTTCAAGAAAATATTAAGGATCTATTATTTTGAAGAGATTTTAGCTTTGCTTTACTATGTGATGTGTAACCTTGTTCGTGGGGGTTGATATTCTTCACCCCAATTCCTAACCATGTCTCCAAATCCAGGAGAGAATAAACAAAGACGGGTTGACTTATGCAGGCTTCAGGATTAGTGGTTCAACCCAGAATTAATGTTTTTAGTTTGATGATACTGGCATAGCATGCATTGACTTAATATTTGAACTGAAAATATTCTGAACAAATGTATTCAAATCATGTCAGTAGCTTCCCACTCTTGTGGGAGATGAAAAAATTTCCTTATTGTGGTGTCTGGTTAAATACAGGCTGAGTTATTTCAACAAAGACACAAAATAATAACTTCATTTCTTCCTCATTCAATAGTCTAGGCAAATGGGGGCCATGGCCGGGGCAGCAGCTCTACTTTCTGTAGGTTTTGTCTGTTGAGTGGTACCACCATCGCTAGAACATGGCGGCGGGGACTCACCACACGTCCATATTCCAGCCCAGGGAGTAAGGGGGGGGGGGGAGAGTGGAGGGGCAGGGCCTTCTCTGGTATAAATAAGTGAATAACCAGAAACTTTCACACATTGCTTTTGTTCAGATCTGCTTGGTCTGAACTTAGTCATTTGCTTGTACCTAACTTAAAGAAATTCTGGGAAATGTGATCTTCTATTGGAACACTCATGTGCTCAGTTAAGAACTGGGAACTCCAGTTCTGTCTGACAGAGATGAGGGTGTAACTACTGATAGACGAGAGACTACTCCTTTAAATACCTCAATACTCTTCTTTAAAAAACTATTCATGAACACATATGTAGAACATTTCCCCACACCAAGAAAGTCCTTATTTCCAACAAAATATCACCTCAAAATCTCATAGAATTTGATTCCCTTAGACACATAATTCCTTATCTCTTGATATTGACCCAAGATATTGTCTCTTCTAAACATTCCCATACATGTTCCCCTTATCATGGGAAGTGGCCTAGTGAATTTATTTCCTGATTTCTTGTCTGTTTTCCCCACTGTGACTTAGCTTTGTCAGCACATAGCATAGAAGGCATTCAGTGAATGCTTATGGAAGGAAGGAATGAATTAAAGTGCTCGTGGATGACCTTTAGAAAGATGCTTATCCACTCTGAGCCTCCCATAACCTGTAAATTGTATGAGTCATTTTTCAAGATCTGTGAATCCTTATCTCATAGTTACCATGAAGGGTCAATTAATTCACACGCTAAGTGCTAAGCGCTCAACACACAAAGTACGTAGTGAATGCCAGCATTATTCACTCAATACCTCCAGTGAGTGTCAGCTACTATTCTAAGATGGCCCAGGAGGGTCTTGATACATTTGACTCATGTGAATGATGACTGTCACTGCCAGCCCAGACTGGGACCACTTAAATAAATATACAAGGGACACAGTGTTACAAGGAAAGATTTTCATCTTAAATTAACAAATGAGTGGGCCTCCCTGGTGGCGCAGCGGGTTAAAGCACAGCAGCACAGCACTAAGAAGCTAAAGCCACTTCAGCATGAGTTCGATCCCCGCCTGCCCCAGAGGAGATCCACATGGCACGGCAGACCTCTCCTGACCCACCAGCTGCTCCCCTCAGCAATGTACTTCGTAGATCTGCCTGTTCTGCTCCCTACTCTGTCTGTGGCGCAGCGGGTTAAAGCACAGCAGCACAGCACTAAGAAGCTAAAGCTGGCCTGTACCCAAGTTCTGTATGCACAAATAAATAAATCTTTAGTCCTGTTCGAGGGATCTCAGACTTTGGCAAGCTAGCAGAGTGAACGTGTCTCTACATAGCTCTCAGATCTTTAGCCCGCCCTTTTAAGATCAGGAAAAGGAGAGTTTTGGGGTGTAGATCTGGTTGCACAAAGGCTGAAGTTCTAGTACTGGAAAGTACTGGAATGAAAAGGGTACAAGTCATCAATTTTTCCTAAGACCAGGATACCTTACATGGTAGATGACAAAAAATGGCACAACTCTTCGAAGAACCTGCTTTAGAGAGGTCAATCCTATTTTTCGACTTTTTGAAAAAGGGAGGGTGTGGTTGAGACAAAGCCTAAGGCTTAACTTGCTCTCAAACCCCAAGGGCATATAAAAAACTAACTACTCAAAATTTCTCTCTGAGACTTGATTTTACAGACACAGCAAAGACTGGACATTTTATCAACAAATCTTGAGCTGAGTTCAAGGCTGTCTGGGACCTGAGAACCCAGAAATCAAACGGCACAGAGCCAGGAGCGGTATCTCTCCTATGGCAGCCAAACAAATGCCTTGAGAGAGAAGCTGGCTGCTTGTCACAATTACCATAACAAATTCACCAGAATGGTGCAAATTGTGCTAAGACCTTAACAGAGTTGCTAAAGGGAAAAGCAACCACAGGTGCCACTCAGCCAGCCACTGAGAACCCCTCTCTCCATAGAATCACTTCACTGAGCCTGAGGAGGCAGGAAGGATGCTTGGGACCTGCCGTCTGCTCAGGCCCCAGTACCTGGTTTAAACTGCCTCCCTCCTACTGTGGTCAGAAGGATGCAGTCGTAATGATTCCAACAATACTGCATATTTGAGTCTAATCTGGTGGAAATCTGATTCTCCTCTTTACTTGGGGTTTGCAGGTTTTGTTGGCCCAAAGAAATTGTTTCGGCTTCCTCTGTCCTGAAGATCAATCTGAGGCATAAACACAAGGGGTCTGC